TTAATTGGTCACACCAGCAACAATATGATTCATGGATATTAATGGATCTAATTAAATTTGCATAAAGTTTGCGTCGCAAAAAATTCGTTCTTAACAAAATGCTGCAGACAGTCGGGGAGCGTATGTGTCACACGATACCCTACATATGCTAGGCCTATCAATTAACAGAACTCACATGTTAAGTATTGCAAGAGAATAGATGTAGATTCCAATTAGCTGCAACTTATATAAAAATTCTAGACTTTGTCAAAACATGAATTATATATACATACATATATTTTTTATTATTTATTCGAAAAGTTTGAAGAAGTGGATCGAGTCGAGGTATTTTTTTTCTGCATTTATTTTTAAGACATTCTTCAATTTAGTTGAAAATTAAATTTTCTTTTGAATAGTAGCAAAGTGAAATTAGGAATTGTCATGGCAAATATAGAAGTGGCACCTTGTCGACTCTGATCACGATGAGGCATAAGCATGATGCTCTGTGCCAACACATTTCCTCAACAAATTGCGCTTCCGGTCAGGCCACACACCCGAATATATACATATATTCACTTACTTAATACGTACATAAAATGTGGCACTTGTAATATGTGAGATGCACTCGGCTTTGGTCAGAAACAGACATTCGCATTGGCCATAGAAAGTAATTGCCAACCGTTTTCTTTAACGTCTTAGTGTCCCGTCCCATGGCCTAAGGACACTTTTCGACCATTGCAATTTTATTTCCAGCTGCCTTTTCTGTGTTGGTTTTCAATTGTTTTGCTCTTGGTTTTATTGTTGTCGGATCCGGTCATTTGCAGTTGTGCCTTTGACATTTCCGTTGGCAACACAGAAAAAAAATGGTCAATTAAAGCCATTAGAGACAGAATTATTTAAGCCATTTGTGGAATGCAATGCGGTCACGACACTAGCTCTAAAATGCCAGTTCTATTAAAATACCCAATAATCAGAGGATATGAGGAAATGAGTCTTTACAATGTGTTTCCTAATGCCAATTTCATAATTGATGAGTATGTTAAAGAGGATTGTCATTGTCATTGTCATTGTCATTGTCATTGTCATTGTCATTGTCATTGTCATTGTCATTGTCATTGTCATTGTCATTGTCATTGTCATTGTCATTGTCATTGCATTGTCATTGTTATTGTCATTGTCATTGTCATTGTCATTGTCATTGTCATTGTCATTGCATTGTCATTGTTATTGTCATTGTCATTGTCATTGTCATTGTCAAAGTTTTCCTTGTATTATAATATGCCGCTTTTGCATGCTTCACAGAAAAATCATTTATTCAAACACGCCGCTTTGTCAGAACTCTCCCTTTTGTAGTCTTTCTTATCGTATTTGTTCGGTATTGATACAAAAATGGGTTCGCTTTAGGGCATCTCGCACTGAATGGAGCTTTCTTGTCTGGGGTTTTGTCCACTCGTTTCGGCCTATCTATCAATGTTTATCTATGCTTATATCGGTCTGTCTATCTCATGTTTACCCCACTCCAGCTGTGCTCTGAGTGCCATCAAAGTTGTTTTGACGGCCCATCTTTTGCCGAGGGCAAACTTTTTCTACACTCCACACTCGTCCTCAATCACAATCCATTTTCTTGGCTGTCGCAAACAGCAATTAGGCTGTCATTATATTTAGAAATTCAATTATTGCATAACATAAATGAGTATTTGNAGAACATATATACTTTGTGGGGTCTGCCACGCCTCCTTCTGCCTGTTACATACATTTCAATAAAACCATTATACCCTGATTTCCCATTGAAAATGGGTTCAGGGTATAATGAATAAATAACCCAATATTTGCGCTGTAAATAGAATTCTTATCTTTATCATATTTGAAAAATTCTGTTACTCGGTCCTATAAAAACCCCGATGAGCTGGAAATCGCAATGCAGTCTACCCAAAATGCAAAGATATTCAGTACGTCTATTTCTCCTTTCGGGATTGTTATTTGTATGCTCCTGGGCATATACTATAACACCAATCGTCCAGAATGGTAAGCAGTTGGAATTGTAATGAAATGGGATTGATTATCGAATTGTGTTTGTTAGGCTTGCCCACCAACACTGATGTAACGACTGCTCCGTTCGTGAAAATCGGCAAAGGATTTTACTATTTTGAGAATACGACGACAAAGAACTGGTTCGATGCCTTTACCAGTTGCCGCCAGATGAATGCCGATCTGATTAGCTTCGAGACCCAAAGCGAATGGTCTCTGATCATGGACTATCGAAGGGCTGTAAAGGACACCAATAGATATTGGACCTCGGGAACTGATCTGGGCGCGGAAGGATCACATGTGTGGTTCGCAACTGGCAAGCCAATAAATTTAAATCTGTGGACCATCAATAATCCGGACAATTACAAGAACAATGAACACTGCGATGAGCTGGGCTGGCGTCCATCTAAGACCGCAGAAGACGGAATGAACGACTGTAGTTGTTCGGCCAAGTTGCGATATATATGCGAGGCACCTGAACCACAAACAGCTTCGTTCATAATTTGGTAGAAAGAGACAGAGTGTGAAAATTAAAGGGAGTAGAAGAGAAGAAGGCAGAGAGAAAGATAGAGTGAGAGATAGAGAGATAGAAAGAGAGAGACAGAGAAAGAGAGAGAGAGAGAGACAGAGAAAGAGAGAGAGAGAGAGAGAGAGGGGAAAATGGGGGTGATCAGACGAAAGGGAGAAGTGTAAGAAAGACTAAAGAAATGACAGACATTTTTATGATAAAATTGACAAAAACGGAGAGAAAAGCTAAAAAGAATAGAAGAAAAAGTGTGACAAATGTGATAGGAATCACAAAAATGGTATATTTGAAAAATTCTATTATATATTAAGATGTTTAGCTAACAGATTACTGCTAAAATACAACGGCTTATTCTTCGCATATTCGTATATAAAAAATTCTATGAACGCCTGTCAATAGATATTTGACATATTTTTAAAAACTTGGTATGTCTGCTATTTAATAAGCTATTGATCATTCTATTCAAAAAATTTTTAATAAATTGTTTTCATATATTGTATGAAGGAAAATATGTTTTTTTTTTCCTGTTCCTCAGAAATCAACTCTTTTTTATAGTTGATTGGCACAGATAAAAAAAAAAAATATTTACAAAAAAAAATATGCCCCTTATGACAGCATATTTAAAGGGTAGGCCAATGGATAGTCCTATCTAAACTTGTTGCTAAGCCAAGACAAAAAGTATGAATGAAATATAAGTCGCTTGATTGACGTGCTACAAAATCCAATTTATTGCAAAGTGTTCAAACAAAAATATGAAAAGAAAAGATTTATCCCTAGATAAGCATAATGGAGATGACTTTCGGATATAAAGAGAATATTTATAAAATCTCGCCCACTGGCTTGATGATCATCTCATGGACCTGCATATGCGGAGGCGTGGCAAGTGTAAACATCACAGCCGACGAAATATCCTTAGCGTTTAGCATTGTTTTGTTGCTCACTTTACGAATGCAGTCCGGCAAAATTTCCGTATCCGTTACGCCGGGACTAATGCTCTGTGAATGCATGAAATGAAGATATAGCAATGAGAGCTCATATGTAGGGTATATAGTATGAAAGCAAAAAATATGATATGTAGGGCATGTAGTAGTCGAGTATACCGTTATCTTAATACGCGTGCCCATGCCCATCAGCTCCTGGCGATACATTTCGGCGAGAGCGGTGACCGCATGCTTGGTGGGCGGATAGACATTGATTTCCGGCGCACCAGCTGCCGGCGGAGCGAACAGCTTGTGGCCCAAAATGCTATTGATCAGGATGATGTGGCCATCGAAGTTGCGCTGCTGCATCGAGCGGAAGGCGCGCTGCGTGCAATTGATGATGCCCATGATGTTCGTCTGCACCGTCTGCTGGGCCAGGGCAATGGGCATGTCCACTAGCCGGCCATTTTGGAGCGTGCCCGCATTGTTCACCAATATGTCGATGGTGCCCAGCTTGCTTTCGATCGCATCGAATGCCTCCTTCACCGAACTCTCGCTGCCCACGTCACAGTGCATGGGTATCAGCCTGTCGCGTCGGGCGGCCGGCAATGATTTCTGCAAGTCCTTCACCCGTTCCACGCGACGCGCCAGCCCCACGACAATGACGCCAGCTTCGATCAGATCCAAGGCAATGGCCGAGCCAATGCCGGAGCTGGTGCCCGTCACGACAGCGACCCGATTCTGCCAACGTTCCATGCTRCTGCTGCCTGTGCCCGGGGGAAAAGCTCAACTTGCTCTGAGCTCATCGAATTCGCTGCCAAGGCCTTATATAGTTGTTCGATCACAGATCGCCGTCAGTCACCCCTTTGCGTGCGGCGGCTGGGCGTGGGGTTGCGTGTGTGCGTCCGCTTATCAAATTCAATCAGAAACTGAGTCGGGCTTATTGATTAACAGCGAGCATTCGTTGGCTTACCTTAGTTGAGTCGTTGTCATGTCTTGGCTCATTCGCTTGTCACTCATCGTTAACCGCTGGGTCAGCTCAACTCTTGACTGGCTTGATGAGCCGGCTCAGTAATAGTCAAAGGTATTGTAGGGGCTACAAGTGTGCCTATTGTCGCCTGCCATTCGCATGTAGGAAATAATAAAATCATCTGATTGAGGCTCATTATATTATAAGTAAAAAATCTCTCTCTCTCTCTCTCCCTCTGAATATGCGAATAAGTTAATGAATGCTCGTTTTCTCATTATATACAATATATAATGAGAT